ATGACAGGAGAGATTTATCAGAATTGTTTCTCAACTATAAATTAACATGAATAGTTAAACAAGTCTCATTCGGGCTCAAATAATATTGTCTACCTCCAAGTGATCATGTCAATGATCTTTCTTGTGTATTGAGGATATGCTCTACACTGCAAGCACTAAAACGTGGTAATTCAAGTATATGCTCAAATTAAGTGCATAAACTGAGTTTGTTAACTATGGAGTACTATTCGTTGCCTAAGGATGATCAAGATATTATCTAAGAATATGTTGATAATGTTCACAACATATTCATTGAGCTGAATATTCATGGGCACAAAAAGGTGAGCTAGTTACTAACTTCTCAGAGTAAACTTTAGACCTCTATTTGGGAAAATACTTGCTCGATGAAATGTTTCTTTCTCTTGAAGTGAAGCACTTGTCAGATTTTTTTGAATTTTGCTCTATCAATTCTGCCACTCTTATCTACAATAGCAACAAATTCCACTTTTCTCCAAATAAACTACCTGAACGACTATTAAACATGTAACAACATCAGGTACATATACCAGAATTAAAGGTCTTCACGTATGAAATAAAGTGGAACAAAAAATGCATACTAGTAACAAAAATCTTAGAAACTTGTAAGATAATCTTAGGTAATAACTTCAACTTTTAAGGTCCTTATCTTGTGATCGAGATGCAGGGCCTATAATATAATGTGCAGATGACACCACTATGAGAAATTCCCAAGTTAAACCTATGAAGTTATTCACAACTCATCTACTTGGCAAAAACTGAGTCAACTAACATTGCCTAAAATCATTGGTTAGTTAGTATGTTATAAGATGCAGAATTGATATAACCTTTCAACTTTTGTAAAATCAAAAAGACTTACATGCTCAAATAATTATGTCATATTGTTTCTCTCGAATCAATTCCAATAGAAATATACTGGTAAGAAAATATTGTTACATAAGATAGGGTGATAAACATTGTTATATATGGTAGGGTGATCCCCAAATAAAAAAGTAGTTTTTTAAAAAAATACTCATCTCTCAGTTAATAATGTTTTCTGAAGCAAAGAATTCAATTGGATAAAAATTATAACATTTCACCATTCAAAGAGTGGAAAGAGAAGTAACAGAGGATGACACTATATTGCATCATCACAATATAGACTTCTTTCCAATATACTCATTTTGTCTTTCATAATAAAGGAAAATAAAAAAGGAATAAAAAAAGCATAAGGATATTAAAAAATTCAGCAATTTGTTAGACCCCATATGACTGACTACCTACGAAATCTAATTACAGAACTCCGTAACTATCTGAAACTCAAAACCAAAATAACTGACTGAACACGAATACATTACTGACCCTTGATAATTTTATTCACATAACCTCCTTCCTTTATTCTCAAAAGTTCCTTTTAGTACCACAGATTGCTATCAAAATAACATAAAACAGTTGATGAAAACAAGCACGTGCAAAAATCACTTAAGGAAGAGCCAAAAGCTTAATAAATTCTATAATTGTATTTTTTTATTCGGGTCAGCGGTTATGGATGAATAAAAAACAAAATCTTTAGAACAATTCCTCGTTGAGATCTCTAAAACATCACCATCTTATAAATAATGGCGTCTGCAAAAGTTCAAGAAATTTTGCATCATATTATAATTAAAACATGCATAAACAAAATCAGTTAATAAAAAGCTAAATGTTCACGTAATTCTAGAACAACCATTAAAAAATTTAATACCTTTAGAGTCATCAAACAAATTAAATAGTTTGGAATTTGGGAAAATTTCCAAACCCAAATTCTTAAACCATAAAAGCTTACCTAAGTCATAAATATATACATCAAGCTAGAGCAAACTCAATTGGAAAATTGATATTTTCTTAAAATAATAATAAAGAAAGAGGTAAGAAGGTAAAAGGGCTTGAGGATGCTGGTATGCATTGTGGAAATACAAATACGTAGGAAGAAGAGAAGTGCATGATTGTTATGGTCCATCTTGGTATAGAAAATACGGATACGAAGGAAGAAGAGAAGTAATATTTGCATTTGCATTGGGAAGTCCTCACAGGAGGTTAAAGAGCTTATTTATTTATAAACAAGCTGAATCTTTAAAACCAAACACATTATGTTCAACATATAGTTACAGACCAAAAAAAAAGAACAGTAAAATATGAAAAGTCATATGCATCAAGTAATTAAAAAAAACATACAGACCCATTAAAAAATGAACCAGTTTAATATGAAAAGGCATATACATTAAGTAATTAGAAAAAACATACGTATACGTTAAGCAAAAAGGCATAATAGGAAGTAGAAGAATAAAATTGAACTAGAGACTAAGGAAGCTAGAGGTGTAAAACACAGAGAGTTCACGACTAAGACAATGAATTTAGTTATTTACTAAAAGATTGCGAAATTGAATCTTTAAGACAAGAAACAAATTTAAAACATGAGGAAATGAAATAAAAATACCTGAAGATTATCAAATGGATCAATACATGTTATTGTTAACATGAGAAGTGGTACCATTTACCAATAAGGCAATAAGATAATGCCAAGTTTATGGTACAATTCTAAATGTTCATGTAATTTAAAAGAATTACACAATTCAAATTTTAGTTGACATTTTAAACTATGACGATTTTTTCTAGCAAAGACATTTTCTTCAAATACCACATATGCATACACCATTAAATCATTCAAAAAATCAAAAATAAAATTAGAAGAACAATCATACCAATTAAAGTGTCAAGCAACTGAATATGTCGGAACAAGTGATTTTGCCCATAAGTCTTTTATTGTTTCTTTACTTTCCGGTTTAGAAGAAAATATTGTAAGGAAGGTTCAGTAATTTCTAAATACCAATAAATCAGGATAATAGCATAAGAGAATATAAATAGAACATTCAAAATTCACATGGTGAATTCGGCAATCACCAGAGACGAAGAAGTCCAACTATTATTTATTTTGGCAGGTCTCACCCACAAATATGAAAGCCAATAAAGTCAAAACAACATAAAGCAAAGATTTTTATCGACAAAAACTCAAAAGATAATATTGCTTTCAATTTACTTCCTACAAGGCACAAAATTTTTCAAATCTCAAGGACTTATTTTGCCTTTTACATAAGTAGAAGCTCAGTTGACCTAAAAATATTGAGGTATACATGTTATCCATCATTCTTGAACCTATAAGATGACCTCTTCTCATAAGCTTTATGTTTCAAATATAAGGGAGAAGAAGAATTTTTTTAATGGGAAAAAGAAAGAACCTACCAAAAAATCCTTCTTTTTAATGAATTAATGTTTCATTCTATTATGTCCACTTGAACGAAAGGTAAATCATAACTTAAGTAGTTCCTGAAATCTAAAAACTTAGAAAGAAATAAGGATCCTCCAAGAAGAATGATTCATGTCCTCTTTAATTGAGACTAAGATATAAATTGTACGTATATAAAGTGAAAAGTTAGGATGACATTGTTTTGTTTTCATGTTGCTATCATCAGAAAAATAAGCATAAAGTGATCACAATAAGAATCGTCATAGAGCTATAAATCATAAGATCGGAATCAAGAGATGAGATTTAGATAATTTTTAATAGTATTACTAATTGTAAAATGCTCTATTGCAACAGATTTCAAGGGAGGATAAACTATATCGCTAATAGGTAACTTATAGTTTTGCATGTTATCCATCTATCTAGTGAACTAAAGTTGTTTTTATCGGTCACGTTATTATAAACATATAAGTTTTTTTAAGGAGAACCACACCCGTTAAAGTGCAAAGGAAAACTATTCATATGAGATCACAGAAAAGATTGTGATATACAGTTTATGACAAATTTTATTAACACTCTCAGTGTCTTCTATTATAAAAGAGAGAAACAACATAATGCACAAAGATAATATTAACAATGAGAGCCATAAAAATTAAATAACCAGGAAGCGATTGAGATATAAGAGATTAATTTCAACAGCCAGTTGCAAAAATGAAGAATATTAAACAAATATTAAAAAATCTATTTTTATTTAGGATAAAAGAATATCAAAAAGAGTTCAAGAGCTTTCATATTTTAAAAATGTTGCAGAGGCAATTCTTGCGCCTTCTCATTCTTTTACATCCCTTTCCAACTTTGCCAGCTTATTTACAAGCTATTTCCCTTGGTAAAGCTATAGTGTCTAGTTTATCCACAATGAATAATGACATATAACTCCACTTGAAAAATTCAAAATCCAAAGCATTTTTTGATGTATCATTTCAAATGTGTTTGGTGATATATTACCTACCTTAATTGTAGGGAGGAGTTTAGATATACCTTCAAAAACCAAGTAAACAACAATTGTCAACTAAAGAAATTTAAAATCTATGTTGCTCGAACTCTTCAAAAATGGCAGCATGTGTGTGTTGGATTCTCCAAAAATAGTGTATTTTAGAGAATTCGAGACGGGTGCAGCAAAGAAAGTGAAGAGTCCATGCAACTTAGTCTAAAACTGAGAGGTGCAAAAATAGAAATTAAAGAACCATTAATTTAACGATACATAAGTTTCATCTAGGAGAAGTTTGCATTAATTAACAAGTTGCAAAAGAGAAGTTCAAGGCCTCTAGTACAACATATAAATGTTTATGAGATAAACTGATATTTTATAATTGGATGACTCGACTTCTGAGACATAATAATCATTTCGAATTTGAAAGGTAATATAATTAAAATATCCCACTAAACAATGCTCTAATTTTACTCCTAATCATATTATTTGTTCACGCCAACGTAGATACATAATTCTTTACCTTACCAGATTCAAAGTTACTGTCGCATCGTTTCGACTTTGAAATAGCTTAGAAAACTATTTGAATCTATTCTCTATGGAGCATTGAATTTTCTTTTTGAATCTTATAATGCAGAATTCCTCGACATAAAAGATCATACACTAACATTAAGAAGTACTATAAAACTTTCAAGTGAAAAAAAAAACATGAAAAAGAATCCATATTGAAGTTGCTGGTTCAGCCTAGCTACAAATTACTTCTTGTTTAATTCAATTTTCTTACAGCTAAATAAAAATTTGAATAAATAAGTATCTTTTGAATATATGGAAGGACAAACATTTTCATCAAAGAAGCAACATGTTATACATCAAAGAGATCTGAAACAGAGCATCAAAATTGAAGGAACTCTAATATTTACCCACTTGCAATTTCTCCGACGTAATTTCCAGTCAATTACACACTCTTCCATCTTGATCAAACTAACTCTTTAATGTAGTTTCAATCCCCTTAATAAGTACCAAAAAAACATTTAGAGAGATAGGATTGAAAGAAATGGAAGATAGAATCATAATATCCATCCAACTAAGAAAGTGAAAAGAATTTTGCTCTATACAACCCAAAAAGTAAGCATCAGTTTGTACCTTATTTTTTTTAAAAAAACAAAGAACTTTATAAAAATGGGTGATTCGAGATTCGTTTGAAGGGTTTGATTCAATCGGAGTAAAAATTAATCAGGGTTGGTTGTTTGGTTTTGAGTAGTAGTGATTTGTTTTTGAATTCGATTGGTTGAGTATATCCCCTCGAGGATTTAGCCATGGAGGAGTAAGGAGATAATGATACTTTCTGATTGAAATGAGATTTTAACGGAGGAGAGTGATAGAGTGGAGAGAAGATACTTCTAGAGTGAAGTAAAGCATTTAGAATGAACATAAAAAATCTTTTGCCAAATTTTTACGAGGACTATCAAATCATAATTACAATTTTACACTTGTATGTTTGGTATAAATATATGTTTTGCCAGTGGTCGTACTCTCCATCACACTTCTATATATATATATATATATATATATAGTATTCCTCACCAATAATATTCTTGGGCCTCACGCCAAAAATTCAACTTTTTTTTCATTTTTCTAAGTTCCTTGGGATTGACACTTTTAGCCTTATGGCTCCTTTGACAAAGTTATCCCAAATTATAGTTTATTTTGGAATTAATTTACTTGCCTCAAAGGTGGAATAAAATAGCACCAACACCTTAAATCATTTATATCGTCCATCAATTTAAGTATAAATTTATTTTGAAATTTACTTCAAGGATATTCCAGTAGATCTCGTAAACCAAACTACCTTATTTTTTCTTTAAAAAAAATGGGAAAACAAATAAATAACATAATTAGTTAAAGTATTTATATTTTATATATATATTAGTAAAAACGTTAAAAATATCATTATTTTATAGAACTTTGTGTTTTCTAATTTTCTGCCTACTTTATCTCACATTGACACGTTTCCATTAATTCTCTCTTATTTTAAATAAGATTCTCTCTTACCTATCTTTTCAGATTCTTAATTCTCTATCCCGTTTTTTTTAAAAAAAAAACTCACACCCATCTTTATATATTTAGATTTCTCTCTCCAACTTTTTTAAAATTGTCTCTCTCATATTTATCTTTTCAGATTTTTCCTCGAAGATTCACGTTGTTCATATCTCTCTTCCGTAAATTTGATTATTTTTCAGAAATTGAATCAACAAGAATCCCTTTGATAAAGGCATTCATAATTTTTATCCTATTTTTAATTTTTTTTTTGATTTTGTTGTATGCATAAAATTTTAAAAATTATTGTTTGTATTTTTCAATCTCGATTAGAGTTTACTCTACAATGGATGAATCCAAAAGGCTTTACTAGAGGTATCCAACTTAATCAACAAATTTTTGTTGATTTTCTATCCTCTGATCTATTTGTTACTCAAGAAATAGAGGATAATGTATGATCCATTTCTAAAAGGAGGAAAGAGAGATGATCAAAACATTTGCAGGACCCAATCATTGTGCCAAATCTTCATCTAATTCAATTTAGAACGAAAAATGTAGAATCTTCATCTACTTGTTGAGATATTAAAAGACGCCGAAGATCGAATAGTTGTTGAAGAGGATGGAAACGAAGAGATATCTAACTATTTTTGCATGTTTAGTTGAAATTTTTAAAGATCAAATTTATTCAAAAAACTTATGTTAGTTTGCAGTTTAGTTTTTTTTTGTATTCAAAATTATTTTAATATGTGTATTGATATTGATTAGATTAGCAAATGTTTATGGCAATGTACACGTTTGTTAGTATGTATTTGATATTTCAATTTTATTTTATTTTTGTATTTTGGGGATATTTTTGTTAGCTTTGTCAACGTACCAAATTTTTGAAATCATCCATTTCTAGTTCTTTATGTATTGATATTGAATATATCCGTAAAATTTGTAGAGTTGTACATTTTTATTAGTATGTATTTTGTATTCCTTATTTTATTCTATTTTCGTATTTAGGAGATATTTTTTATTAGCTCTTATAATGTACCAAATTGTTGAAATAATTCATTTCTAGTTTTGTACACATAGAGCATTATGCTCTATGTGCTCTATAAGTAAAGATATATATTAATTGTATTCATTATATTTCGCACTTTTGTTTCAATATTCTGTATTGATTATACCATATTTGGTGTATTCATTAAATCATAAATGTTTGCTTATGCTGAGTGGCTATCTTATGGACAAGGAAATTTGTCCAATAAATTTGATTGAATGTTTTTAAGATCAAGATACGCTGCACTTCTTTGGAACCATGGCCAACAAAAGAACGATGTGGGATTCATTAGTGACAGTGAGGCACCCCCAAGACATAACAAGCCTCATATAGTTCTGATTGATAGTGAAACAATCAAAATACCTTAGTTTTGTATTTATAGTTTAGTTAATGTTGTTTTATTATGAATTCTTTTTTATTATGAGCTATTTTGTCAACTATATTATGCAAAATCATCATTTTGATCTTATGAAGTGTTGATTCAGCAGTAATAGTTTTGATACATATTTATGTAATTTCATTGATTGTGAAGTGTTGAACTCTAAAAAATATATTATGCAAAGTCATCATCTGTTCTCAATAGAGTATTTAAATACAAATCGTTGTGATTTCAAATACAAAGATAGGTCAGCGACCTCTCAAACACGAATACAATTTGTCTTGAACAATTTTGTATTTCGTTTTGATCAATATAGTTGTAACCTCTATTACTTTCAGAAAGGCATGTCAACTGCACAAGGTCACTTTGAAGTAATAAATTTAGATGAATACATAACAAATGACAATATAAACTGAAGTCTGAATACATAATTGTTTCTTTTTACATATAATCAAGTAGATCAATTTTGTATTTCGTACTGATCAATATAGTTGTGTCAAATGTTAATTTCAGAAAAGCAAGTCACACAAGGTTAGTATTTAAACAAATGCATAATTAATGATAATACAAATTGACATCTCATTACATAATTGTATTCATTTTAAATATAATGAACTTGAACAATTTTTGCATTTCGTATTAATCAATATATATGTGTCCAATGTTATTTCCCGAAAAACATTTCAATAGGTCAACTTGAAATAATATATTTAAACAAATGCATAATAAATGACAATACAAATTGACATCGGAATATAATTCTAACTATAATATTTATTAAATATGATTAAAAAAAACTCACAAACAAAATCTAACATCACTTTTAAGAAAAAAATACAAAAGTTGTTTGCCGTCGATTTTGTCATCCCGTTTCGTTAAAATAATACTCAACAAATTGTAATAAAAATTAATCAAAATATGAATAATCGATGATGAGAGAACTCAGCAGCTATGGAGAAGACCAATTAGCTTTTAGTTTTCGAATTTGTAACCGCTGAAATTATTAAGGAATATCTTATTTTTAAAAATCTTCTCTCTCCTAAATTTCTCCTTTTTGTTATTTATCAACTGTATTCATTCAATTAAAACAAATAACGAAAATTTAAATAAGATACATAATAGATTTAAAATTTGATATTTTTACTAAATATTAAAAGTGTTGACATTGAATCCTATTAAATATCAAAATATTGACATTTTGAAAAATTTCTCAAAAATAGATCATCTTATCTCTCTACTAAATGTGGATTCAAAATAAAGGGAGAACTCCTTACGAGGGAAAAAAACTTATATGGTACTCATTTAATTATGGCTATAAGAATATTTATCTTTTTACTTTTACGCCTTATTTGTCTTCACTTAGGACTTATATGGTTACTAGATAAGACATGAGTTGTTCAAGTATAAAATATTGCATAAGTTTTACTATGTTTGGGGGCATATTTATGGCACGTATAAAATTCAACACACAAAATACTATGTATGGTTAGAAAATTAGAAATCTATATTGCTAATATTTCCTCTGTCCTTATTTAGTTGTCCACTTTAAAAAAGACACACATATTAAGATAACAATAATTAACATGGTGAAGTTACAAGTTTACCTTTATTAAATATGATTTCAAAAAGTATGAATCAAAACTTAGAAATTTTCAAGAAGTTTAAATGAGGGTTAATAGGAAATTTTTTTTATCCTTTCTTGATTTGTCAAAATAAACAAGTAAATAGGGACATCTAAAAAAAGAAATATGAACAAGTAAATAGGACAGCGAGAGTACATGAATAAGTTATGAGTCAATTTATGTATTAGTTTATACAGGATAGTAGATGAAATAAGTTATAACTTTATAACTAATACATGAATAAAAATCCAAATTGACAACTTTACCCTTCACTCTAAATCAAATATGCTTCACTTATCTTTAAAAAACTCTCAAATCCTCTCTACACATTTCTAGATCTAGAATGATTGTTCATCTTTCCAGAGAATTTTATGTTTTTAGTCATTTCAACTATAGCATCTACTTGAGCTTAGTTACTGCTAAAATTTCTCACATTGAGTAATTGGTATAAAATTGAACATTTTTTACGTACCTTATAGATGAGAATATGTCTCACGCTAATTATTTCTTCTACTTTATTTTTTACCTTTTCTGTTTTTTGAAGCAGTGAAAGCATGGAATTAGGGGATTTGGGTTGCAATGTAAAAGGTTTTAGCAACAATTGACCGTTCATAGATTTGTCAAACTCAATAGCAAAAATAGTAATTTATTTTTAAGAAGTATATAATGTTTATTAACTTTTAACATAACAAACCAACACCCAAAGAAGTTATAAACCTGGCATAACTAAATCTTGCATAACTAAGTTCTGCATAATGAATACATGTATTACTAATATATGCTTGACTAATACATGTATTACTAGTATTTGCATAACTCTAACAGCAACCAAACGACTCCTGAATGAAAATCTTAGAGTGTTTGATATGAAGGAATGTTTTTCAACCTTTTCATGTTTGGTGGCTTAAATGTATTGAAAAAAATTATTTTCTAAATCAACTTATTTTTCTCAAATTTAAGAAAATTGACTTACTCCAAAAAAGTAAGGAAAACATTTTTCAATTTTTTTTTTTAACATCACACCTCAAATTTTCACCCTATCTCAAGTCTCGTGTATTGATTTCTAGTACTAATTCGAGATCTGACTCCAAATTCTTTATTTGACACTGGATTCCCGACCTTGGTTTGAGACTCAACTCCCAAGTTCCTATTCGACTCGGGATTGGATCTTAATTTGAGGTCGAGTTTTGGGTTAGGATTCAAGGTCAAATCCTGAATCAGATGTTCGAGTCGGTCCCGAGTCTAGGGTATGAGTTGAGTTTTAGTTCAAGATTTGGTTTAATCTCAGCTCAAATGTCGAAATTGGGCCACAGATTGATTGACATGGTTGAATCATAGTTCGAAAGTCGGGTCCCAGATCGGATCGATTTGCTTTGATTTAGAGTTAGAATATAAATTGTATACCTTGTATTCTAACCTTAATCCTATTCCAGCTCTGATGTATCTCCTTAAATTTGCAATTGTAATAGGACTCTCAAACTTCACTTGTGATCGTACGTAATTTTATAAATAACATACATATTGTACACAATTATCATCAAGATATAATATCACCCATTCTCTCTACGTTGTGTGCATCTACATGTTATCAGAGTATAAAACACACAAATCTATGTTGCATTAAACTTGTTGAATAACAAATGACTTCCTCTTCACCGACAGATGTCCCTTTCAGCTTCTTCGTTGCACTATCTTATGATTGTGTGTCCTATCAAACTGAAAGCCTACTAATTATCTTATCTTTATCTAGAGAACACACACACTACAA